CCACATGAATTTCAGCTTCATTTATGTCATCGCAAATCATTGTAGCAATGTGTAATGCCCTCCGTTTACCCCCCTGTTTCGACCAACTAGGCTTAGAAAGCAGGCGTAGGGTGGAAATGAGACTTACAGAGTAAATAATAGGATAATATCTACAAAAAAGGGAGACTGTAGGGAAACCAAAGGAGTGTTTCCTGACAAATTATTTACACACTGATAACTGGTTTGCCTTTTTCGCTTTAGTCCTCCACCCACATAGCATTGATAGTTGGGCGGAGTGAAAGACTTGGACAGAAGCAAATAAGGGTTATCCACAGCATACTCTTGATCTACGAAAGCACCTTTCTTCTGGCAAACTTGAAGACAGCCCACCTATCTGTCATCCAGAGGTCTCACCAAGGCATTTCAACTGTAAATGTGGCACGTACTATTCGAATGGGAGAAACGTGAAATGAAATATTTACCTGTCTGTTTGGAAAAAACATTTCACGATTGCCTTTTCGAATATACGAATTCTTGTCGTAGTTACTTTTATTCAAACCACCGCTTTCGAATATAGCCAAGTTGATTCTGGCCACTCTAAGTTAAGGCGCGCATATAATGCTACTGTTGTTCTTTAATAGTCCGCTTAACTCTCGGTTTTGTTAACGGGTGCCTTTCTGGGCTCCCCCATTGTACCTCTGTCGGACGGCCTGGCATCCGGACCAGGTCAGCAGTCACCACGCCCTAATTTGAGCTAAGAATGCACATTCGACCCGAGTATTGTGTCCTCTTTCATCTTCATTGAAGCCTCGCCCCACCTCACATGGATCTTATAATACTATTCATACTTGTATGTTTCTCATTTTAAAACAATTTTCTTGCAGTTCACCATCATCAAAATATGCACGAGAAATCTGTTTGTATATCCACTTGAAGCCTACTACGGACACCAGTGTCTGTATTAAAATGTTCGTTTTTATCCATTCGATTTCATCGTTCGTACCTCCTTGTGCGTTTCAGTTGCTACATTTGTATGTTATTGCTAATTGAAGTAACATAATTTTCTTCCTTTCTGAGTCAAATCGTATCAAGATCCCCCTTGATTTGCCAAGTAAAAGTTATCTGTTAAGATGGAATTTGTAATACTGGAATGTGTATTTCTTAACACGAAGAAGAGCTAGGGGCTACTGGCCTGTCCCGAAGGTCAGGCCACTGAGTGCAAACACAATGACTCAGACCTCAACTGTCTGGGTAACTGAGAGGATGAGTTAAGCAAACACTGGAGGTATTACAATACTATTCAACGGGAAAGCTTCAATGTTTAGAACAACCGATCGGCCTATTCTTCCTGTGGAATTATCTTTCACTAACCATTTCGCAGGCAGCACGGAACCTCAGGTACAACATAATCACCAAGCTACATTACTGACGGCAAAATGCAGTGTCCGCTCGCTTACACTCAAATTCGATTGTCATCTTTTCTATTTCCTCGTGTGACCTCCAAGATACCAGTTGCGCTGTGCCTGTCAACACAGGTAAGTGACCATGCAAATCTTCGGGGAAAACTATCAAATAAAGCTGAGGTGAGGTAGTGATTGGATATTCTGTTCGTCCACGCGGTTTCTTCAGTACTCGGATGTTGCCCTCCCTTCCAAGCTTGATGTACTCACAGATGAGAACTGCCTGGAGGACGCGGGAAGTCACACCACTCATCCAATTATTCTATGCTTTTTCTTATCTTACAGCAGAATATTTGCTCATTCCTCGTGTAAAAAGTGCAGTCACAATGGCCCTGCGAAATGCAGTGAGGAAAGGGGAGTCAACAAGTTAGCTAGGTGTGCAATTATTGGCATCTTTGATTGCGTACTAACCTGTCCTCTTTTCATGTAGACTTAACTTTAAGCACACCACTCCCGGTGAGTCGTTAGTCACAGAAGCGCAGCGGCAGATGCTCAAATAATTTACCTTAGGAAGAAACCTTGTTCCCACAACACACTTGTGTGCTACTTGTAACTCCTTTGTAAGTAGTATTGCTTGAATATGAATTCAGTTAGACTGCTCCCCCTACAGACGTATTCAGCCTTACTGAGTGCAAAAATAGGAGCTTTGAAATGGAAGTCAATGTAGTGCGCAAGATGCTCGTTTTACTCTCCACCAATGCATCTCCTGCCTCGATCTGACTTCCGGGCCGAGCCAGTAATCCACAGGTTCTTCTCTACGACAACCGTACATATTGGTTTCAAGCACCGTGTCCTCTTTCGTCTTGAGACAAGTCGCAAAATCCTACGACAAATCAAAGGCCAAAAAATATAGCAAAACATATTAGCAGCATCGCCATCTATTGGTCCTCGATCTCTGTGAGTTTAACCACCACTTTGGTAGGAGAAATGACCTTTAAGCCTCTTTTTCCTTCGTTTACTCTCGTTTGTGCTCAGATGTAAATGAAAAGCCGTTTGTTGAGAGTGGATAAGCAAAACGGACTACTTTTCCTGCTTTCCATTGTGAGTTCTTTCTCCTTCTTTCCAAAAATGCCGAACCAATCAAATGTGGCTGCATTTTAATAAACTCACAAGTTGGGTAGAGAATTTTGACTTAACAATTTTGCTTAAGTTCATTATTTTAAATGGAGGCGGTAGACTTTTTCTACAACGAACCATTAGTTGATGTTGTTGGGGCAAGGCAGCGTCCACTTTGTCACTCCTCGGCTTCCAAGTATCGCTTCGTTTAGCGTTCCATAAGTAACGGAGTTTTCCAATTTTTATGGCAGGAAGTGGAATAGTGAGTGCTTGATTGCACCTATTTTTGTCCGTTTATCGTGAGCAGGAGCTCGGCGGTTCGGCTGAAATTAGTAAGAAATATTTGCCTCTTAAATTGTTGATCTTCTAAGCCATTCGACCAGCCTGTTTTCTCAACTTAACGCATCCAAACCATAATGTAGATGTTCACTTCAGCCAGCGGGAATGCAGTAGAGGTGCATTTATTCACACAGTCAATGTCTGGTGTGGCAGGTCAAAGTGCCAAGGTGATTGCCAGGAGTGAGAGGGGATTGTTCTCATTCGTTCATCCAACCATTAAGTTTGGGTTTGCCATAGTTCCTGCAAAAATAAGGAATTTCGCGTACTTGGCCTAGTGGAGTTTAATAAATTGCATTTTTGAGACCGTCAAGATACTGCCGTGGCCACGGAAACTTGATCGGACATAAAGACTCTGCATGGATGCACATTCACATAGCTATGCTTAGTTAAGACTGGGAAGTCCTGCAAAAAATCTGTAGCCTTGATGCTTGAATAAATTTCAGTTTATGGGTCCTAAAGTGTGTCAGGAGAGAAAAGAATGTAGCATTAACTTGCAGAAGGTTTGGGGACACCGTGGTGACGGCATAGAAATGGTCACCAAAGTGGCGTGGAAGGCAGAGTGAACAGATACATTTGAAATAAATATGCTTGCAGCTGGTCTTTAGGAAGCCATTCTTTTCAGCAGAATTTGTTTACAATTATAAATGGTTAATTGTAATGGCGCTTCCACTATCACCATGGGACACAAACTTGGCTTAATTATCGCCTTTGTTGCCTCATCCAAGTTTCATTTGCTGTCTACTTTGTCTCGCGAATGACTGTTTAGTCCCTAAAAACGACAATTGTTTAGTTAAGAGTAGTCTTGGGGGAAAACGAAGGGTGATGCTTGTTGGGTGATGGTACTGCCAATTGATGGACCCTCAGGAAGAAATTGATGGGGAGGTATTCCGTCCTCCTTACAACATAAACGCGGCGGGTACGTTTCTCGGGGGATATTGGAACCGCGCGCTTATTTAAATTCATCTTAAGTACTTTAAATTTAAAGACTTTAAAAAGAAAGTGCAGAACTGATTCAGATACGACAAGTTACACGTGTCAAAGGTTAGGTACATATCACTTCCTTTGTCATGGCATTAAAAATCGTTTGTTTAACTCTCGGTTTTGTTGCCGGGATAATTAGGAACCCTAACACTGTACTGTCGTCAAGTGACCTGATTTCTTGGCCTTGCCAACAATTCCAAGCCCTTCTCTTCGTTTTGTCCAATTTTTATGTCTTTTGTCCTCGCCAGGGAAGTCTAGAGGAGCCTCTTCGGGCACTTTGTATGAATGATAACCTGCCTTGTTGCGTTGCATAACTAGATAACAAAATACTAGTTAATGAAACTGTCAATGTATCTGTGCGCACTGTTCCACCCCCAAATTTGCCCCCTTTTCTTGAAGGCATGGTCTCCTATCTTTCTTTTCCCTTTGTATTTTATTTCGATTATTCCCTTGGATCAAGAAGGCGGGTAAGAGGAAGTCGGAATAGAGAAATTAGTGTTTGTCTTCTTCTTCCTCCTTCTCCTCCTTCATTTTCCTTTTCGAGGCTCAATGACACCTTCCCAGTCACCGAAGTTGACTTAGTTCACTCACATGTCACTTAAAGTTCTTCCTCTTATTATTCGTTCCGCTGATGAAAAACGATTGGTTTTAAGAAAGCAACGATTAAAGTGACTTTACGCAGGCAATTTGCAATAAAAGTGGCAGAATATATGCGCTAACGATAGGAGGAGCTGCTATTATAGACGAGCTGTTTATTCGGCCCAACGTCAGTTTTTATCCCCTTTGCGACTGTACAGCTGCAAGTATATTGTATAGTAGTGATTGTTAACCTCTCTCAGGCATGTAAGTATGTATTACTTCATTAGAGCTGATAAAAAACCTGTCCAATTTACGGCAAGTAGATTTCCGTTGTCATGCCATGTGACTGCTCAGTGAGAAAACTCGCTTTTCAGAGGTGCGCTATTGTGACCTGCTGCCTGGACCCAGACAGTAGACCCTAAGTACTTCTATACATCGTCGTTGAGTATTCGTCTATGTACTGTGTCCTCTTTCGTCTTATGACAAGTCACTGCTGTTTTTTAACAAATCGAATAACCAAAAGTAATATTAAATAGGTGAGCAGCATCGCAATTAACTGATGATCAAGATGGGTGCAGGGTCCTCAGTCTCTGTGAGTTTAAGCCAACACTTTGGTAGGAGAGATGACCCTTAAGTCGTGGTATTTCTTTCAATACTTGTGGCTAAGTAGAACTTCTTTCCTTTCTAGCTCTCCACTGTACCTCTTTTCCCCTTCTATTCAAAAATGTTGGACCATCCAAATGCGAATACACTTTGTCAAACACACAAGTTAAGTTGGATACTTTGACTTAACAATCTTGTAGCAACCCATTATTATAACTAGGAGAAGCTGTTTTTCCACGGCTAATCACTAGTCGATGTTGTCAGGGCAAGCCAGCGTCCACTTTGTCGATGCTCGGCTTCGAGGAACCTTTCCTTTTGTCATTCAATAGTTAATGGAATTCAACACATTTGTGCCAGGAAGGAAAAAAATGAGGTTGCTTGACTGCGCCTATTTTCGTTTGGTTTGCCGTGAGCAAACGATTGGATGTTTGGCTAAAATTAAGTGAAATTGTGTCTTTCTTAAAATGCCGATTTACCCAGACATTGATGTAGTCTGTTTTCTCAAACGTCTATCAACCCAAGTGTGAAGGTTCAAATCACTCAGTAGGAGTGCAGTGGAGGTGCCTTTATTCACAAAATCGGTGCCTCTTGTAACAGGTCAAAATACTGAAGTGATTGCTAGAAATGAGAGGGAAAGGTTTTTTCGGACTTATCCAGTCAATCGCATTCTGTGTCCTCATGGATTCTGTAAAAATGCAGAATTTCGAAGATGTGAGCTAATGCAGTACGCAAAGAAGGATTGTAAAATGACCGAAGCTGAGGGAGACTAATAAATGGAGTGAATTGAGATGAGCTTCATGACACTGATATGACCACCGAGACCTGGGAGGCACCGAAGAACCGGCATGGATGCACACCCACATACCGATGCTTAGTCGAGATTTGTAAGCCCTGTTGCATCTAAATTCGAATTTGTGACCCCTAAGTTCTGCCAGCAGGGGCAAGGTGTAGCATTAGGGCTAGAATTGGGACAGAATTGGCAAGTTTAAAGTAAATGTTCTTGATTAAAATGTTTCCATTACTTACAAATAGTCTTAAGGTACCATTCTTTATCAGCCGACTTTATTTGTAATTATGAATGCTTAATTGTTGTGGCATTTCCACCTTCACAAAGGGGCACATATGTGAGGTAATTACCACCTTCGTTACCTTATCCAAGTTCTATTTTCCATCTTCTTTGTTTCGCAAATGAATGGTTAATCCAAAAAAAGGCGATAATTGTTTGGGAAGAAGTAGTCTTGGATGAAAACGAAGGGTGATGTTGGTTGGGTGGATGGTACTGCTAATTATTGGACCTTCAGAAAGAAATTAATAAAAAGGTATCTATTTCTTTCTCTAAAGTATACAAGGTGGGTGTGTTTCCCGGCGGATAGTAGAACCACGCACTTATTTGAACCCTTCTTGGGAACATTTAATTCAAAGGCCTTTGAAAGGAAAATACGGATCTCATTCTGATATGGCAAGCTAAAAGTATCACGAGTTGCACAGCCCCTCCTTTGTCAATTAGGGTGACATTTTTTACTTGTTTGGTTAACTCTTGGTTTCGGTGATGAACCACTTTAATGCCTCGCCATTGTACCGTCGTCGGGCTACGTGACCCCTTAATCATGCCAACAGCCCCCAAGCTGCACTCTATGTTGACGATACATATTCTGCCTGAGTATTTTGTCTTCTTCTCTCTTCAGGGAAGTCTTGGAGGAGTCTCTTCGAGCATTTAGTATGGCGATAAAACATCAGTTGTTCAAACCGCCAGTGTAACTGAGCAAGTCATTCCATCCCCAAGGCTTGAACTTCTACCTTGAAGGCAGAGCCTTCTGTCTTTCATTTATCGTTGTCTTCTATTCTGGTTAAGCACTTGGATTAAGAACGGTGGTAAGAGGAAGTCACTATAGAAGAATTAGGGTTTGTCTTTCTCCTCCTCCTTTGAACTCCATTTTCTTTTCAGGACCTGATGACATCATCCCAGTCACCAAGGTTGATCCAATCCTCTTACTTGCCGCTTGAAATTTGTCATTCTTGTTATTCTTTCTGCTGAAGAGAGATAACGATATTTTATAAAGGGGTAGTTAAAATTATTTCAAATGGGCATCTTGTAACAGAAGTGGCAGATTTCATTTTCTGACAACAAGAAAAGTCATCATTTTGGATAGATTTATATTTGGCTCAAAATCAATTTTACGCCCTTTTTCTACTCTAAAGCTATACACAAATTTTTTAGTGGTTATCAACCTTTTTCTGGCATGGACATAACTATTACTTCATTAAAGCTAGTAAGAATCTGTTTCATTTACACCAAATAGCAATTGGTGGCAATGCCGTGTGATCACCCACTGGAGAAATTCGCTTTTCAGAGCAGCATAAGATACGCCACCCTCAAATAAACCACATGAATTTCAGCTTCATTTATGTCATCGCAAATCATTGTAGCAATGTGTAATGCCCTCCGTTTACCCCCCTGTTTCGACCAACTAGGCTTAGAAAGCAGGCGTAGGGTGGAAATGAGACTTACAGAGTAAATAATAGGATAATATCTACAAAAAAGGGAGACTGTAGGGAAACCAAAGGAGTGTTTCCTGACAAATTATTTACACACTGATAACTGGTTTGCCTTTTTCGCTTTAGTCCTCCACCCACATAGCATTGATAGTTGGGCGGAGTGAAAGACTTGGACAGAAGCAAATAAGGGTTATCCACAGCATACTCTTGATCTACGAAAGCACCTTTCTTCTGGCAAACTTGAAGACAGCCCACCTATCTGTCATCCAGAGGTCTCACCAAGGCATTTCAACTGTAAATGTGGCACGTACTATTCGAATGGGAGAAACGTGAAATGAAATATTTACCTGTCTGTTTGGAAAAAACATTTCACGATTGCCTTTTCGAATATACGAATTCTTGTCGTAGTTACTTTTATTCAAACCACCGCTTTCGAATATAGCCAAGTTGATTCTGGCCACTCTAAGTTAAGGCGCGCATATAATGCTACTGTTGTTCTTTAATAGTCCGCTTAACTCTCGGTTTTGTTAACGGGTGCCTTTCTGGGCTCCCCCATTGTACCTCTGTCGGACGGCCTGGCATCCGGACCAGGTCAGCAGTCACCACGCCCTAATTTGAGCTAAGAATGCACATTCGACCCGAGTATTGTGTCCTCTTTCATCTTCATTGAAGCCTCGCCCCACCTCACATGGATCTTATAATACTATTCATACTTGTATGTTTCTCATTTTAAAACAATTTTCTTGCAGTTCACCATCATCAAAATATGCACGAGAAATCTGTTTGTATATCCACTTGAAGCCTACTACGGACACCAGTGTCTGTATTAAAATGTTCGTTTTTATCCATTCGATTTCATCGTTCGTACCTCCTTGTGCGTTTCAGTTGCTACATTTGTATGTTATTGCTAATTGAAGTAACATAATTTTCTTCCTTTCTGAGTCAAATCGTATCAAGATCCCCCTTGATTTGCCAAGTAAAAGTTATCTGTTAAGATGGAATTTGTAATACTGGAATGTGTATTTCTTAACACGAAGAAGAGCTAGGGGCTACTGGCCTGTCCCGAAGGTCAGGCCACTGAGTGCAAACACAATGACTCAGACCTCAACTGTCTGGGTAACTGAGAGGATGAGTTAAGCAAACACTGGAGGTATTACAATACTATTCAACGGGAAAGCTTCAATGTTTAGAACAACCGATCGGCCTATTCTTCCTGTGGAATTATCTTTCACTAACCATTTCGCAGGCAGCACGGAACCTCAGGTACAACATAATCACCAAGCTACATTACTGACGGCAAAATGCAGTGTCCGCTCGCTTACACTCAAATTCGATTGTCATCTTTTCTATTTCCTCGTGTGACCTCCAAGATACCAGTTGCGCTGTGCCTGTCAACACAGGTAAGTGACCATGCAAATCTTCGGGGAAAACTATCAAATAAAGCTGAGGTGAGGTAGTGATTGGATATTCTGTTCGTCCACGCGGTTTCTTCAGTACTCGGATGTTGCCCTCCCTTCCAAGCTTGATGTACTCACAGATGAGAACTGCCTGGAGGACGCGGGAAGTCACACCACTCATCCAATTATTCTATGCTTTTTCTTATCTTACAGCAGAATATTTGCTCATTCCTCGTGTAAAAAGTGCAGTCACAATGGCCCTGCGAAATGCAGTGAGGAAAGGGGAGTCAACAAGTTAGCTAGGTGTGCAATTATTGGCATCTTTGATTGCGTACTAACCTGTCCTCTTTTCATGTAGACTTAACTTTAAGCACACCACTCCCGGTGAGTCGTTAGTCACAGAAGCGCAGCGGCAGATGCTCAAATAATTTACCTTAGGAAGAAACCTTGTTCCCACAACACACTTGTGTGCTACTTGTAACTCCTTTGTAAGTAGTATTGCTTGAATATGAATTCAGTTAGACTGCTCCCCCTACAGACGTATTCAGCCTTACTGAGTGCAAAAATAGGAGCTTTGAAATGGAAGTCAATGTAGTGCGCAAGATGCTCGTTTTACTCTCCACCAATGCATCTCCTGCCTCGATCTGACTTCCGGGCCGAGCCAGTAATCCACAGGTTCTTCTCTACGACAACCGTACATATTGGTTTCAAGCACCGTGTCCTCTTTCGTCTTGAGACAAGTCGCAAAATCCTACGACAAATCAAAGGCCAAAAAATATAGCAAAACATATTAGCAGCATCGCCATCTATTGGTCCTCGATCTCTGTGAGTTTAACCACCACTTTGGTAGGAGAAATGACCTTTAAGCCTCTTTTTCCTTCGTTTACTCTCGTTTGTGCTCAGATGTAAATGAAAAGCCGTTTGTTGAGAGTGGATAAGCAAAACGGACTACTTTTCCTGCTTTCCATTGTGAGTTCTTTCTCCTTCTTTCCAAAAATGCCGAACCAATCAAATGTGGCTGCATTTTAATAAACTCACAAGTTGGGTAGAGAATTTTGACTTAACAATTTTGCTTAAGTTCATTATTTTAAATGGAGGCGGTAGACTTTTTCTACAACGAACCATTAGTTGATGTTGTTGGGGCAAGGCAGCGTCCACTTTGTCACTCCTCGGCTTCCAAGTATCGCTTCGTTTAGCGTTCCATAAGTAACGGAGTTTTCCAATTTTTATGGCAGGAAGTGGAATAGTGAGTGCTTGATTGCACCTATTTTTGTCCGTTTATCGTGAGCAGGAGCTCGGCGGTTCGGCTGAAATTAGTAAGAAATATTTGCCTCTTAAATTGTTGATCTTCTAAGCCATTCGACCAGCCTGTTTTCTCAACTTAACGCATCCAAACCATAATGTAGATGTTCACTTCAGCCAGCGGGAATGCAGTAGAGGTGCATTTATTCACACAGTCAATGTCTGGTGTGGCAGGTCAAAGTGCCAAGGTGATTGCCAGGAGTGAGAGGGGATTGTTCTCATTCGTTCATCCAACCATTAAGTTTGGGTTTGCCATAGTTCCTGCAAAAATAAGGAATTTCGCGTACTTGGCCTAGTGGAGTTTAATAAATTGCATTTTTGAGACCGTCAAGATACTGCCGTGGCCACGGAAACTTGATCGGACATAAAGACTCTGCATGGATGCACATTCACATAGCTATGCTTAGTTAAGACTGGGAAGTCCTGCAAAAAATCTGTAGCCTTGATGCTTGAATAAATTTCAGTTTATGGGTCCTAAAGTGTGTCAGGAGAGAAAAGAATGTAGCATTAACTTGCAGAAGGTTTGGGGACACCGTGGTGACGGCATAGAAATGGTCACCAAAGTGGCGTGGAAGGCAGAGTGAACAGATACATTTGAAATAAATATGCTTGCAGCTGGTCTTTAGGAAGCCATTCTTTTCAGCAGAATTTGTTTACAATTATAAATGGTTAATTGTAATGGCGCTTCCACTATCACCATGGGACACAAACTTGGCTTAATTATCGCCTTTGTTGCCTCATCCAAGTTTCATTTGCTGTCTACTTTGTCTCGCGAATGACTGTTTAGTCCCTAAAAACGACAATTGTTTAGTTAAGAGTAGTCTTGGGGGAAAACGAAGGGTGATGCTTGTTGGGTGATGGTACTGCCAATTGATGGACCCTCAGGAAGAAATTGATGGGGAGGTATTCCGTCCTCCTTACAACATAAACGCGGCGGGTACGTTTCTCGGGGGATATTGGAACCGCGCGCTTATTTAAATTCATCTTAAGTACTTTAAATTTAAAGACTTTAAAAAGAAAGTGCAGAACTGATTCAGATACGACAAGTTACACGTGTCAAAGGTTAGGTACATATCACTTCCTTTGTCATGGCATTAAAAATCGTTTGTTTAACTCTCGGTTTTGTTGCCGGGATAATTAGGAACCCTAACACTGTACTGTCGTCAAGTGACCTGATTTCTTGGCCTTGCCAACAATTCCAAGCCCTTCTCTTCGTTTTGTCCAATTTTTATGTCTTTTGTCCTCGCCAGGGAAGTCTAGAGGAGCCTCTTCGGGCACTTTGTATGAATGATAACCTGCCTTGTTGCGTTGCATAACTAGATAACAAAATACTAGTTAATGAAACTGTCAATGTATCTGTGCGCACTGTTCCACCCCCAAATTTGCCCCCTTTTCTTGAAGGCATGGTCTCCTATCTTTCTTTTCCCTTTGTATTTTATTTCGATTATTCCCTTGGATCAAGAAGGCGGGTAAGAGGAAGTCGGAATAGAGAAATTAGTGTTTGTCTTCTTCTTCCTCCTTCTCCTCCTTCATTTTCCTTTTCGAGGCTCAATGACACCTTCCCAGTCACCGAAGTTGACTTAGTTCACTCACATGTCACTTAAAGTTCTTCCTCTTATTATTCGTTCCGCTGATGAAAAACGATTGGTTTTAAGAAAGCAACGATTAAAGTGACTTTACGCAGGCAATTTGCAATAAAAGTGGCAGAATATATGCGCTAACGATAGGAGGAGCTGCTATTATAGACGAGCTGTTTATTCGGCCCAACGTCAGTTTTTATCCCCTTTGCGACTGTACAGCTGCAAGTATATTGTATAGTAGTGATTGTTAACCTCTCTCAGGCATGTAAGTATGTATTACTTCATTAGAGCTGATAAAAAACCTGTCCAATTTACGGCAAGTAGATTTCCGTTGTCATGCCATGTGACTGCTCAGTGAGAAAACTCGCTTTTCAGAGGTGCGCTATTGTGACCTGCTGCCTGGACCCAGACAGTAGACCCTAAGTACTTCTATACATCGTCGTTGAGTATTCGTCTATGTACTGTGTCCTCTTTCGTCTTATGACAAGTCACTGCTGTTTTTTAACAAATCGAATAACCAAAAGTAATATTAAATAGGTGAGCAGCATCGCAATTAACTGATGATCAAGATGGGTGCAGGGTCCTCAGTCTCTGTGAGTTTAAGCCAACACTTTGGTAGGAGAGATGACCCTTAAGTCGTGGTATTTCTTTCAATACTTGTGGCTAAGTAGAACTTCTTTCCTTTCTAGCTCTCCACTGTACCTCTTTTCCCCTTCTATTCAAAAATGTTGGACCATCCAAATGCGAATACACTTTGTCAAACACACAAGTTAAGTTGGATACTTTGACTTAACAATCTTGTAGCAACCCATTATTATAACTAGGAGAAGCTGTTTTTCCACGGCTAATCACTAGTCGATGTTGTCAGGGCAAGCCAGCGTCCACTTTGTCGATGCTCGGCTTCGAGGAACCTTTCCTTTTGTCATTCAATAGTTAATGGAATTCAACACATTTGTGCCAGGAAGGAAAAAAATGAGGTTGCTTGACTGCGCCTATTTTCGTTTGGTTTGCCGTGAGCAAACGATTGGATGTTTGGCTAAAATTAAGTGAAATTGTGTCTTTCTTAAAATGCCGATTTACCCAGACATTGATGTAGTCTGTTTTCTCAAACGTCTATCAACCCAAGTGTGAAGGTTCAAATCACTCAGTAGGAGTGCAGTGGAGGTGCCTTTATTCACAAAATCGGTGCCTCTTGTAACAGGTCAAAATACTGAAGTGATTGCTAGAAATGAGAGGGAAAGGTTTTTTCGGACTTATCCAGTCAATCGCATTCTGTGTCCTCATGGATTCTGTAAAAATGCAGAATTTCGAAGATGTGAGCTAATGCAGTACGCAAAGAAGGATTGTAAAATGACCGAAGCTGAGGGAGACTAATAAATGGAGTGAATTGAGATGAGCTTCATGACACTGATATGACCACCGAGACCTGGGAGGCACCGAAGAACCGGCATGGATGCACACCCACATACCGATGCTTAGTCGAGATTTGTAAGCCCTGTTGCATCTAAATTCGAATTTGTGACCCCTAAGTTCTGCCAGCAGGGGCAAGGTGTAGCATTAGGGCTAGAATTGGGACAGAATTGGCAAGTTTAAAGTAAATGTTCTTGATTAAAATGTTTCCATTACTTACAAATAGTCTTAAGGTACCATTCTTTATCAGCCGACTTTATTTGTAATTATGAATGCTTAATTGTTGTGGCATTTCCACCTTCACAAAGGGGCACATATGTGAGGTAATTACCACCTTCGTTACCTTATCCAAGTTCTATTTTCCATCTTCTTTGTTTCGCAAATGAATGGTTAATCCAAAAAAAGGCGATAATTGTTTGGGAAGAAGTAGTCTTGGATGAAAACGAAGGGTGATGTTGGTTGGGTGGATGGTACTGCTAATTATTGGACCTTCAGAAAGAAATTAATAAAAAGGTATCTATTTCTTTCTCTAAAGTATACAAGGTGGGTGTGTTTCCCGGCGGATAGTAGAACCACGCACTTATTTGAACCCTTCTTGGGAACATTTAATTCAAAGGCCTTTGAAAGGAAAATACGGATCTCATTCTGATATGGCAAGCTAAAAGTATCACGAGTTGCACAGCCCCTCCTTTGTCAATTAGGGTGACATTTTTTACTTGTTTGGTTAACTCTTGGTTTCGGTGATGAACCACTTTAATGCCTCGCCATTGTACCGTCGTCGGGCTACGTGACCCCTTAATCATGCCAACAGCCCCCAAGCTGCACTCTATGTTGACGATACATATTCTGCCTGAGTATTTTGTCTTCTTCTCTCTTCAGGGAAGTCTTGGAGGAGTCTCTTCGAGCATTTAGTATGGCGATAAAACATCAGTTGTTCAAACCGCCAGTGTAACTGAGCAAGTCATTCCATCCCCAAGGCTTGAACTTCTACCTTGAAGGCAGAGCCTTCTGTCTTTCATTTATCGTTGTCTTCTATTCTGGTTAAGCACTTGGATTAAGAACGGTGGTAAGAGGAAGTCACTATAGAAGAATTAGGGTTTGTCTTTCTCCTCCTCCTTTGAACTCCATTTTCTTTTCAGGACCTGATGACATCATCCCAGTCACCAAGGTTGATCCAATCCTCTTACTTGCCGCTTGAAATTTGTCATTCTTGTTATTCTTTCTGCTGAAGAGAGATAACGATATTTTATAAAGGGGTAGTTAAAATTATTTCAAATGGGCATCTTGTAACAGAAGTGGCAGATTTCATTTTCTGACAACAAGAAAAGTCATCATTTTGGATAGATTTATATTTGGCTCAAAATCAATTTTACGCCCTTTTTCTACTCTAAAGCTATACACAAATTTTTTAGTGGTTATCAACCTTTTTCTGGCATGGACATAACTATTACTTCATTAAAGCTAGTAAGAATCTGTTTCATTTACACCAAATAGCAATTGGTGGCAATGCCGTGTGATCACCCACTGGAGAAATTCGCTTTTCAGAGCAGCATAAGATACGCCACCCTCAAATAAACAACGGTTTCAGTCTGTATGGGTAATACATGAGGTTATGGATCATGACCAAATGACTGCTGGCTAACCGCAGCTGGTGGAACAGAAGCCGGGGAGTGACAAAGTGGACGCTGCCTTGCCCCAACAACATC